TTCCAATAGGCAGAGAAAATAACCAAATCCAAGTCTGACCTTTGCCCCATTCTGGGCCAATAAATAACTGGCCCAGAGGAGATTGGCAGGGCCCTGCAAGCACCCCGCCCCTTCCATCCATGTCCTGGCTGCATCTCTCAACACAGAGATATCGAAAAGGCCATTAGCCAACCTACTCCGCATCCTGGTGCCCACCCTTTGCTCTTGCATCATCCACCCGGAATAGTGCCCCCTTCACAAATTGCTCTTTTCCAGGTTCTGTACAAATGGCACCTCTACCCTGAAGGCCTCATATCTTCTCCCTGCCCCAGGAGTTCAGTTGTGGCATCAGTGCTTCAAGTGGGTGTTGGCCTGGAATGAATAGAGCCCACCAAACCTGTTGGCTCTGTGATCTTCATGCTCATCCATTTCCAACCCTAGAGGGGTGCACAGTAGCAAGAGTCACCTGGCCCCTGGGCTTATTGACTCTGTGTAACTTGAGCTAATTCCAGCCCTTCTCTGAGATGGACAGATGTTCCAACAGTGACAGGAAGGAGTTAGACCAGATCACTGTTCCCCAAGGTTCAGGCATTTATTACCTTGTTTTTCTGTGTCCACATACCATTTGTACACTTACAATATTTTTAATTTAAAAACTTTAAAAAGGCCTGGCTGTTGTGGCTCAGTGGATTGAGCATTGTCCCATGGACTGAGAGGTCCCAGTTCGATTACCAATCAGGGCACTTTTAAAAAAACTTAAAAATTTTTTTATTTAATTGTGATAAAATACATGTAACATAAAATTTACCACTTTTAAGTGTACGGTTCTGAGGCATTCACATTGTTGTGTGACCATCATTACATTCCATCTCCAGAACTTTTTTATCTTTCCTAACTAAAACTTCATCCCTATTAAACACTAATTCTCCATTCCCCTCCCCCAGCCCCTGGCAACCACCATTCTACTTTCTACCTCTATGAGCTTGATTACTCTTCTTTTAATTGGTGGGGGAGAGAGAGAGAGAGAGAGAGAGAGAGAGAGAGAGAGAGAGAGAGAGAGAGATCAATTTGCTGTTCCACTTATTTATGCATTCATTGGTTGATTCTTGTATGTGCCCTAACTGGGACTGTAACCCTCAACCTAACACACTGAACTACCCTGCCAGGGCGAGTTTGACTACTCTTGATACTTCATATAAGTGGAATCATACAATATTTGTATCTTTGTGACAGGCTTATGTCACTTTGGATAATGTCTTCAAAGTTCATGTAGCATGTGTCAAAATTCCATTCCCTTTTCAGGTTGAATAACATTCCACTGTACATATATACCATCTGTTGTCTATATATCCATCTATCAGTGTACACCTGGGTTGCTACCATCTTTTGGCTATTGTGAATAATGTTGTGAGCATGGGTGTACAAATATCGCTTTGAGACCCTGCTTTCTATTCTTTTGGATATATGCCCAGAAGTGGAATATAGACTGTAATTCTATTTTTAATTTTCTGAGGGACCGCCATACTGTTTTCACAACAGCTGCATCATTTTACATTCCCACATTGGTCCCAATTTCTCCTCATCCTCACCAACCCTTATTACTTTCTTTTCTTTTCTATTTTGATAGCAGTCATCCTAAAGAATATAAAGTGCTATCTCATTGTGGTTTTGATTTGCATTTCCTTGATTATTAGTGGTGTTGAGTGCCTTTTTATGTGCCTTTTGACCATTTGAATACCCTCTTTAAAGAAATATCTATTCAAGTCCTTTGCTCATTTTTTTAAATGGATAGTTGTTGTTATTGAGTTGTAGGGCTTTTTTATATATTTCAGATATTAACCCCTTATTGGATACATGATTTCCAAACATTTTCTCCCATTCCCTAGGTTGCCTTTTCACTCTCCTGAATCGTGTCCTTTGATGCACCACTTTTATTTGGATGTAGTTCTATTTATCTATTTTTACTTTGGTTGCCTATGCTTTTGGTGTCATATCCTCTAGGATATGATCAAATCACGGCCAAATCCATTATCAGGAAGCTTTCCCCTGTTTTCTTCTAAGAATTTTATAGTTTTAGATCTTAAGTTTAGGATTTTGATTTATTCATTTTGAGCTCATTTTCACACACGGTATAAGGTGAGGATCCAACTCCACTCTTTGTATGTGGACATCCAATTTTCCTGCCTGATTCTTATTTGTCCTTTAGATCACTGCTTAAGTATTTAGACTTTCCCTGACCCAGCTATCTAAATGACACCCCAACCGTCAATTATTATTCTTTCCCCAGGGTATCCTGCTCTTTTCCTGTAGTAAGGTTATCATCATTGGTAATCACGTACGTATTGATCTCTGGGTTTGTATATCTAGATAGACTGTCTCTTCCATCGGACTCCCTGAGGGCAGAGTCTGGTTGGAGGACTCACAGCTCTGTTCCAAGTGCCTGGTACACCCAAGGTAGAAAGTCAACATTTGCTCAGCACCTCTCCAGCTTGCCTCACCCACCCCAAGGTGGGGCAGGCCCAGCACACAACAGGGGCTTGGCCAGAGTAGGGAGCCTTTGTAGACGTGAACACTGAGACTAGAGATGTGCTTCAGGTGATCTGTGTGGTGAAGGCCTGCTCAGACCCTGGGCAGGGGACCAGCCTTGAGAATAGACAGGCCTTCAGCTCCTCATCTTGGCTCTTAGTTCCGCCATCCCTCCCAAGAACCCAGGGCTCCCTTGGCGCCAGCTGAGACCCTGGGTGGGCGGCAGGTCCCAGCCGGGGACAGGTTCCTTCCCACTTTTTCTGACTGGGGGAGCGAACAAAGTTGGTTTCGAAAAAAAATGTCACAGTGAAAAACAATGCAGGGATTGAGTCTTGCTTACTACCATTTGAAAGGAATGAAAGTGGGATTAACTAAAAAACAAAATCCAAACCCAAACCCAAACAAAATCACTCTACTGTTTTAGAATCTGCCTTGGAAACAATCATCTTACTGTTTTCTGTGTCATAATAAAATTAATGGTTTACCCAAGTGCTTTGTTCTGAACTGGGCTAGAACAGTAAGCAGAGAGGCTGGTCTCTGGGTAAGGATTTTGCAGCTACCAAGAAGCACTCCTTGTTTCTGAATACCTACTCCGGGTGGAGCCAGGTGTGCTGGGAGGAAGCAGTCAAACATCCATTTGAGTGGGTAAAGGGTTAAATCAGCATCAACATGATATTTTCAAGTTAGATCTTGCCACTCTCCTGCTTGCAACCTTCTAGGCCTTAGAATAAAATGTTAACTCCCTCCACTATTCTGTAGAATGAATAATGGCCACCAACAGAAATCAGACACTATCCTGGAAAATGCAACTTTTACTTCATAGAGAAAAAGGGTTTTAGCAGATTTAATTAAGGGTTATGATGAGGGGAGATTATCCTGGATTACCTGGGCAGGCATTAATCACAAATGTCTTTACAAGAGAGAGGCAGAGAGAGACTTGATACATACGGAAGACAAGGCAACGTGACCCATAGGGGCAGAGATTGAGGTGATGAGGTTGTAAGTCAAGGAATGCCAGCAGCCACCACCAGAAACTGTAAGAGACAGGAACAGATCCTCCCATATACATCCTCTTCCGGAGGATGTACCTTGGGTTGACATTGTACCTTGGGTGTACCAGGCACTTGGAACAGAGCTGTGAGTCCTCCAACCAGACTCTGCCCTCAGGGAGCCTGATGGGAGAGACAGTCTATCTAGATATACAATCCTCTGGAGGATGCTGACACCTGGATTTTGGCTCAGGGAAGCTGATTTCAGACTTCTGGCCTCTAGAACTGTGAGAGAAGATGTTTCTGTCCTTTTAAGCCACCAAAGTCAGGATAATTTTTTCCAGCAGCCATAGGAAACTAAATAGCCCTTTGTGACCTGGTCCTTACCCACATGTCACATCTCACCATCACTAACTTTGCCCCACCCGGGATCTTCTTTCAAACCGTGCAGCTTCCTCCAGCCTCATGGCCTTTGCACTTACTAAGTTCTTTCCCCGGACCTTCCTAAGGCAGGTTGCTACTTATGAGTCAGGTCTCCGCATAAATGTCACCTTCTCTGAGGGGTCTTCTTTGACCACTCTATCTAAAAATTGCCTCCTGGTCATCTTTGTCACATCTGCCCTGTTTTACTTTAGTCATAGTATTTGTCACTATCTGAAGTTTTTTTTTCTGGTCAGTTTACTACATGTCACCCCACAAGAAGGCCTTGTCTGGTGTTTTTTCCTGCTTATCTCCAGGGCCCAACATACAGTAGGCGCTCAGCAAACATTGGTTGGTGAATAAAATGAGTGATATGTGCAAGTCTCTAAGGCTCCTAGTGTGTGTGCCTGTGTTTCAGGGTGCGGGTAGGGCAATGAAACTTTAACTCCAACGTCATCTCCTGCCGTCTAAGTGACACCCCAGCCCCACTGCGTGCCGAGGGCTTCATTTATTCTGCACAACAGATCAGTGAGGCAGGTCCTTTCATAACCCTACATGACAGCGAGGAAACGGAGGCTCAGGGATCTTTTAAGTCACTGCTCAATATGTTCACAGGTGAAAACCACATCAACTGAGTCACTGTGCCTCCAGAGTTTACACAGACCCTCCCCTGCTAGGTGCTCGGTTTCCGGGGATACTGATCCCGCTTTAAGGAGAGAGCAAAGAGAGGCTCAGGGGCTGGCCAAAGGGCACCCAGCGCCCTAGAGGCATCCAGGAGAGAGCCGGTAGCTGTTACCGGCTAGCGGGGCGCGGAGCAGGGTGTAAGTTTCCAGCAGGCGGCCTTCCCTGGGACAGAAAAGTGCAGCTAACTAGCTTGGTTCTGGCGGAACCATTATACTGAACGCGGCCTCAGTTTCCCCGTCTATAAAGTGGAACGACGCGACTTCGCGTGTCTCCAGGCTAGACCTGTCCGCGGTGATCGAAGGGTTAAAGGGGCGGGTCTCGCGGCGAGGGCGGGGCCCGGGCTCCGGCCGCACCTGGCTGCTCAGGGATCCCTCCCTCGGCGCCGAGCTTCGCGCGGGGAGCCGCGGCTGGAGCGGAGTCCCGGGGGAGGAGCAGCGCAGGAGCCGGTGCCCACCGTCTGAGGGACTGCGACGGCTGCCGGAGCGACCTCGCGTAGGCGAGCTGAGCCGCGATGGCCGAGTTCCCATCGAAAGTGAGCACACGGACCAGCAGCCCCGCGCAGGGCGCCGGCACCTCGGTCTCAGCGCTGCGCCCGGACCTGGGCTTCGTGCGCTCCATCCTTGGCATGCTCATGCTGCTGCAACTGGTGAGCGCGCGCGGGGCCCCGGGGGCGGCGGTTCCTGGGAGGCCCTCCTTAGCACCCCACACGCTCCCAACCCGGGTCACACGCGCTCCGACATGCCGTGCCTTTCCTGGGGGCACCTTTAAGACCAACGCCCCTGAGATCACCCTGGAACCCTCTCACCTTGGGAGTCCCGGTTGCCGCCCCTGCGAGCACACTCACTGTGCACCCAAGTTTAGAGTGCCTACTCCAACGCCCATTAGCCCCCCAGGTGGTCACCAGAGGCCATCCACAGAAACGCTCACATAAGCCACAATCACTGCGTACGACCCAGTCTCTGTTTTTGCAAGGACAATGCCCCAGCCCTTCAGAGATCCCAGACTAAATCGAAGTCCAGTCTCGGCTAACTCTCCCCGCGTGGCCGCACCCCAGAACACTCCTGGTCTAATCGAGAGGGCACATCCGTTCCAGGACTTGAACGTAGGCACGGCCCTCCCTATGGGCTCCCGCGCGGGAGCCGGCCCTTCTGGCTTCCACTGGGTGACCCGCCGGGTTCCAGCCGGTTTGGCTGGCCTAGCGGACCGAGATACCGCGCCCAGCGCTCTGGGCAGTGCCTTGTGGGAAGCCTGGGGTAAGCCTCCTGCGTCTTCTGGACTTTCTGACGACCCCAGCAGTGGCAGACCGTTGGGAACACCCCTCTCCCAATCCACACACACTTGTCACAGACCCGGGGGACGGGGGGGTGGGGGAGGGGGGTGGAGCGCAGTCAGCTTTCTTCCTCTAGGTGCCTTCTGGTGAGAGTCAGGAAGCTGGGTGGCCGCCCTTATGGGAGTCTTTCCCCTCGTCGAGGGCCTGGGCCTTTTTCAGAGGACTAGGGAGGACTGGGAGGTGGGCCAGGATCCATTTTCCTTTAGGGCCTCTCCTGCCATCCCCCTGCTGTTGGGTCCTAGAGAGCCTGCCAGGCTCAGGCTGGAAGAAGGGGTCCGCTGAGAACAAGCCTCCCTCCTGGCGCGCCTCTGCCTCCTGGGTCAGGGCTATCTCTATTTCCGAACTTCTCAATTCTCTCCCTGTAAGCACCCATCTGCGCCTCAGCCTCAGATTCTCCTGGAGGGGGTTGTTTAAAATGTAGGTTTTTGGTCCCCACCAGCGGAAAAAGTGTAGAATTGGAATTTGAATCTCAGGAAGTGCAGCCCAGAAATCTACATTTTTAATTCTTCTCCAGGAGTTGTTTTGGAGATGGGGGAGAGGTGAGGGAGGAAGGTAAGGGGTGCGGTCAGGGACTAACTTAAATCTGGAGCAGGGCTGTACCCTAAACTCTGGGTGGCAGTGAAGGGCACAGCAAGGAGCAGAAAGACAGCCGGGCCCCAGGAGTGTGAAAGGGCAGAGGAGAAGGAGGCCAGTTCTGAGTCCAGGAAGTCTCAGAGGAGAGGTGACTTTGGAGCAGGGACTTCCCTGAAATCTGAGGCCTAGTTGGGAAAGGGTGTTCAAAGGGCAGGGTGCCCTGTGAGCCAAGGCTTGGGGACCCGAAAGTAGAAAGGAAGTTTCGGGGAGTAGCCAACAGGTTGGTGAAACTGGACTTGAAGCACTTGTTTCTGGAGCTGTCAGAAGCCTTGAGTAGCTCTGTGAGAGGGTGACTGTTCCTTGGCAGCCCCAGGAGGTTGGGGACCAGCAGAGGGATCTCTGCTGGGCTGAGATGGATGGGCTGGTGGACCCCTAGGGTTAGCTCCTGGTAGGCAAGACCTGAGCATCTGCTCCGTATGTATGCATTTGAACCATGAGAATGGGAATAAGTGGAATTAGAGGAATTTGGAATAAGGGCAGCATCCTGCTGTGCGTACAAGGACCTTGGTAGCTTCCTCCAGAGGAGGCCTGTGTCTCTGATTTGGGGGTCCCTGTGGGTTCAGCAGACCAGTCCTGAGTATTTGGGTCCCATCATACATGTGGGCACTGAGGTCTAGATAGAACATGGTCCTGTAGTGGAGATTGGCACTTATGTATCAAGACTCCCAGGGACTGGGTGTGACTGGGGTAGCCTGCCCTCCCTGTAGTACTTTTGAGGTGTGGAGGATGAGGGTCTCCCATCAGAGTTCTGAACCTTTTAGTGCCTTCACCAATCTGCTTCTGGGAGAACCTGCTTCCTGGGCTGTTTCTCTGGCAACGGACGTTCCACTGGGTCTGAGACAGGGGAGTTCACTCAGTGGGTACCACTCTCTGTTGGGAATCATAACGATAGCTCCGACTAGTCAGATACCCACTCGTCTCCAAGACCATTGCCATGGGCTTTATATCTTCTTATTCTTCCCCCTTTTTCAGGGGAGGAAACTGGGACTCAGGCTGGTTCTCTGCCCAAGATCTCACAGCCCTCCTCCATAGGGAGGCCAAGCCCAGAGTGGTCTGACTTTTCTCACCTGTGCCCTTGATGCCCACACTCAGCTGTGCTCTTACCAGGAACTAGGTCTGGTGCTGCGGAAGGAAACGCTGCTTAGAGGAGGTGGCAACTGGGAAGATGAGAGCTGGTTCTCCATCAGACCTCTGTTTCCCAGGTTTTGGTGAAGTGGGCCAGATGTGTTGGGAGGAGAGAGGGGTGGGGCAGGAAACGTGCTCTTTGCCTGATATTAAATGTGTCCGAAAGAACCAACCTCAGTGTTCACTGATTTATCACTCCCCATTCCATCTAGTTCCAAAAAGAATGTTAGATGGAATATGATATTAAAGCCACATAAGACAGAAGAATATATTTTTATTGATTTTTAGAGAGAGGAAAGGAGGGGAAGAAAGAGAAACATTGATGTGAGAGCAAAACATCAATCGCTGACTGGGAATTGAACCGGCAACCTTTTAGTGCACAGGAAGATGCCCAACCAACTGAGCCAGAGCTGAATATATTTTCTAAAGTTGCTGGTGTGTATAGGGAGGTGGGAATAGGGAGATTGACTTAGAGCCTAAAAGAGATCACACTGTACCAGCAATTTGTAGCAAGTTTAAGGCTGTTATGCTTTGTTGAGCTTCCTAGCTGCCTGGGCAAAAGGGGAAGCATGATGAATTTGTGCAGATAGCATCTTGAAAAAGAAAGCAGGCAAGTTTGACCTAGAGACAACTCTTTTGGTTATAAAAACCTAGAGGTTTGTGGCTAGGGGATACAGGAATGTATAGGAATGTTGTGGAAGGTATGGTTAGTTTGTGCTTGTGGCTAATCATAAAGTTTTATAGAATAAGGGTAAAGCGAATGCTGTTAAGTGACCAGTGTTTTTTGTTGTTGTTAATCCTCACGTGAGGATACGTTTTCATTTTAGATAGAGTGGAGGGAGCAGGGGAGAAAGAGAGAAACATCGATGTGAGAGCATCGACTGGTTGCCTCCTGCATGGCCCTGGGGCCAGGATGGAACCTGCAACACAGGTACATGCCCTTGACTGGGAATCAAACCTTCTACCTGACCCTTCCATCCACTAGCTGACCCTCTAACCACTGTGCAAAACCACCCAGGGCAACCATCTCTTTCTTATTTTTTTAAATCCTCCCCAGGTCCTGGGGAGAAAGATGATGCAGCAACAGACTCAGAGAGGGTGCAGAACTTGCCCAAGGTTGTGGAACTGGGATTTGCACTCAGATCTGGAAATTCAAAGCCTGGCTTTAGCTATGTGTTGTGTTTTTATTGTTTTGTTTTTTTTTGGGGGGGGGGATATGGGTGTTCCTATGCTTTGGAGGGAGGGGGAAGGATGTCAGGAAGGGAAACTTCAGGAGCCAGGGCCACTCAGGAAGGCTCCCTGACCGCAGTGGCGCATGCTGAAGTTCTGTGGAAGGAAGATCGGAACATACCATAGCTTATGCAAGGGCATCCTTCAGGCCCAAGATGTAGAAGCCATGTCAATGCCCTGTGGCAATAGGGCCACTGTCTTTGGAACTTTCTGTCCTTCCTCTTGCCCTACCTCCTGGGATTGGGGTTAGCCACACAATTCCCAGTTTGCAGGTGAATAGACGGAATCAGCCTCACCTGTGTTCCATCACAGTGATCCAGCACAGGTGATGCTGAGAGTGTTGGTGGGAGCACAGGCCTGGAAGCAGAAAGCCTTGGGTTCAGATCCCACGTCTGCCCCTTCCTGGCTATGTGATTGTGGGTAAATTTCCTAATTTTCCTGAGCCTCAGTTTCCTTGTCTGTAATGGTGACTGTGGGATTGTGAGGACTATGGAAGGTAATGCCTACAAAGAGCTTAGTGTGGAGTATGTTGGAATGAAGGGCACTTAGGATTATGGTGTCATAAAATCCTAGGGCTCTTATGCTTACTACCACAGGTCCTTGGTGCATGCTCAACATGAACTTGCATGCTTCCAGGGACAGGGAACTCACTCCCTCTCAAGGTGGCCTGCTTCATCCTGGTGCACTTGTGAGTGTTAGGAAATTCTTCCTCCTGGTGATCCTGGCTCTGCCTTCAGACCCAGCAGGCAGGCCAGCTCCTCTCCAGGTGGGGGGCAGGGAAGGCCTGAAGATCAGCTCTGGCCTCTGAGAAGAGGCTGCCCAGATGAGGTTGCTCAGGTCTGAGAGGTGTGGGCAGAGGTTGTTGCAGTGAGATTTGTGGGTTCAGTCTCCTTGGTGCAGCATTCCAGGCTCTGCGTGTTCCTGGGCTTCCTCCAACACAGAGCAAACCAATGCTTTGTATTGTTAGCTCTGCCCACCTCCCCACTTGTAGGTGGGAGGGTGTTGACTGCTTGGAATTAATTTATAATTATGTAATAAATATACAAACACATTCTCCTTAAAAATAACCTATTACAGAAAAGGCTAAAGTTATTCTTGGATCACCAGTGTTTTGGGGTGTTTGCAGTTCTTTTTTCTGTGCATTAAAAAAAATTGATGGTTTTATGCCGTAGCCTTTGTTGAGGAAGTTGCTTTTTGCACACCCAGTGCGCCTATAATATCTTCATGCCATACAGAGCCGGCTCCCTCCTTCCTGACTCTTTCAGGGTGTCCCCTAATGTCATGGTAACCCCCTCTCATTTAGCCATTTCTCTACTGATGGACCCACT